AAGGACTTGTGTCACTGAAGTTCCTCGGAAATTAACCAGAAATTAACAAACGAGCAGATACGTAACAATACTGTCCAATTTGCTTCTCATGTTGTAGGTCTTTCACTTTACATAATATTTAACACACACACACATACACATATATATGTTTTCTAAACATTTTAACAGTTTTAAAAGGTACCGTCTAAATGCTGAAAGCTGGTGAAGCATTAGAAACCAATATGCTCATTTGTTATCAGAAAGTTAGCATTGTTGTTAAAATATTAAAACATATAGCATGACCATAATATAAAAACAAGATGAATGAAAACAGAAATTTAGATATGTTTTAAATGGGTGGCCATCACCCTAAGGAAACTGTCAGAACACTTTTTTTTTTTAACAAATCTACCATCCAAATTTTAGGATGATTAAAAAACTCATCAGTAGTTTTTAGTCTTCATTCTTTGTAGCTGCCTATGATAAAAAATTATGCTCATAGTAAACTAGTCATGGATAAATCCAATGAACCAATTTTATTACATAGCAACTTTAGTTAATACATGAACACGGATTGAAAGTTCTCAGAATATTTTAGTAACCAACAAATATAAAATCTGCAATTTTATGCTTATTAAGAACAAAAGTAAGTCAATAACTCTAACTGTATATCTAAATACACGGGAAAAATATAAATATTGACTGTACTACTGTCCAACAGGTATGGTACACTTTTAAATATGTTTTAATAAAGAGGTTGAAATTTAGCACGATAGGTGTCTCTTCAGTAGAGAGAGAGACATCCAATCACTACCTAGGCTGCTGTACTTGGTGCATTTAATACAAACTACAAAATGCAAAGCTGAATAAGATATACTTTCACTTCAAACTTCCACTTTAAAAAAAACCATTAATATTTTTATTACCCTGTAACAATTACAATGACTTGATAGTTAATATTATTAATAAAGCACACTGATCAATACTTACATACACAAAATATATTGAGGACAGTTTTCTATTAATCAATATTCATTAATTCGTAAAACAAGAAATCTAATAACCGAAGCATTCCTGGAAAGTAGACCATCCTCATTTACAATAAACTAAGAACCAATTCAACCCTTAAGAAGAAAGATCTACCATATAAAACTTCTCAGATTATCAGATTTTTTCTTTTGTTATTTGTCTAACTTTTTATCTTTCATGATATCTTAATATGGTGAACCTGTTCCCTTTATATCATGCTACATTTTATTAAAGAATATTCATAGTTTTTTATATATTAAAATTATAGGTCAAGTAGTCAAAAAGCAAACAGAGTAGTGAATTTTCACAAACTGGTAATTAATAAAACATCCAAAAAAGACACCTAAGAATAAAAATTATGAAAATCATTAGCATATTTTATACTGTTCATCACCAACTTTCAGTGGCAGCATTCTACTATTCATTTCTTTAGTTTTCTTTCTTATCACCTGACTGGCCCGTTTCATTCTCCTTCTCAGCCTACAAGAATAAAGCACACAATGTATTACCAAAGTGAACTACAGTTTAGTTGATTAAGTTATTAAAATATCTTTTCTTACATTTTTTTAATATTTGACAACAACAATTTTTTAAATGTTTGAAACAATTATATATGCATGCTTCTCTATACTAATATAACTATGACCCATGAGGGAAGTAAAGTGAGAAGTATGTGAAAAGGTTACACTAATATAACCATGACCAATAAGGGGGAAGTAAAGTAAGAATTGGGCAATGATGTGTACTAATACTTTACACACTGCTATATAAGCCTACTTAATATTGTCAAATGTATTGGTACCTTAGTTGTTTTGGTGTCAGAAATACCACACTTGGACGAAAATAACCTATTTAATACCTTTTAACATACTTTTTGCTTTACTTCTCTCATGGGTCATAGTTATATTAGTGTAACCTTATCACATACTTCTCATTCCCTCATCAATCTTGGTTATATTAGTGTAACCTTTTCACATTGGTTACTAGCCTATAGGATCATCTAAAGTTTAATTAACTGAAGCTAATAACCATGAAAATAACTGAACATTTGACAATATTAAGTAGGCTAGCCAACCTATAGCAGTGTGTAAAGTATTAGTACACATCATTGCTTTGGTTACTAGCCTATAGGATCATCTAAAGTTTAATTAACTGAAGCTAATAACCATGAAAATAACTGAACATTTGACAATATTAAGTAGGCTAGCCAACCTACAGCAGTGTGTAAAGTATTAGTACACATCATTGCCCTGGTTACTAGCCTATAGGATCATTAAAGTTTAATTAATTGAAGCTAATAACCATGAAAATAACTGAATATTTAACAATATTAAGTAGGCTTAGCCAACCTATAGCAGTGTGTAAATTATTAGTACACATCATTGCCCTGGTTACTAGCCTATAGGATCATCTAAAGTTTAATTAATTGAAGCTGATAACCATGAAAATAACTGATAACCAATGGCCACATCCTTACCATAAGTGTGTTCAGACAAAAGCATGCACACACACATATATATACATGTTCCACAAGATGCAAGTAAAAAACATTGGATAAATGATAAAGAATAAATTAACATGTCTAAGTGAAAACCTTTTTACTCTATTTTGTGCAACATTTCTTTTGAGCAGACACCCTTCATCAGGCAGTAAAGACTGTGTTACAATGGAATAAGGTCACATATCAACCTAGCAAAAAAACTACCACAACAAATAACCTGTCAGCAGGCCCTCTCACAGGTTCAGACACTTTAAGCTTTTGAGGCCCCTGGTCATAATAAAAATAACAAATGACAAAATACACAAAAATTAGGACCATCATTAGCTCGAAAAACAATTGTCTAAATTGGAGGCCCCCCTTTGAGCTTGAGGCCCAGGCCAAATGGCCCTCCCCTCTGATTTTCCTTGCCTGTCAGTCTAAGAACCTGTAAAAACATCAAGCAGATGGTATCATACATTAAATCAGATGTGACCTAACAAATAGTATGAATGTCAGTCTAAGAACCAATAAAAACAAAAACAAATGAGTATAACCCAACATCAGGTAAGAAACCAACTAAACATAACCCAACATCAGGTCAGAAACCAATAAAAAAAAACAAAGTGAGTATAACCCAACATCAAGTTAGAAACCAATAAAAAATAAACAAGTGAGCATAACCCAACATCAAGTCAGAAACCAACTAAACATAACCAAACATCAGGTCTGAAACCAATAAAAAACAAACAAGTTTCTGACCTGATGTTGGGTTATACTCATAACAAGCATTTATATTATCTTGATAGATACACATACCACAGTAGATACTGAACAGACTTGGGTGCTAGTGTAGCTGTACACGCTGGGTCTGGTTAGGTTTTATTTAACTTCTCCATCTTTTCTCGTAATAATCAGTTCTGGTATTTTATTAGTGCACGACTACACAACAGTATCATAATGATGGCTGTTTTTTTTATGTTTGACATTTAAAAGGGTTTGGTCAGTTTGATTACATTAGAAAAAAAAACCATTGGAATCATTCATTGCCTATGTAGACACATTTTAGTGCAAATTAAAATGATCATGAAATTAATGTCAATTTATGATTAAATATTTTAGGGCAGCTGAGACACACCATGGTACATGAAGCACTTAGGCTGAACGCGATGACATGGCCTTTGACCCATGACCTGTCTGGAGAAATTTAAAATATGAGTTGTCTTCAGTGGTCACTGAATTTAGTCAAAGAGCAAAAACAAAATTCTAAATCCTTTGTCCCTGGTTATGTATGACAATAACTTAATTTATTGCATGTGACTTGAATATTCCAAAGAATTGGAACTCTTTTACAGCCTGTGTTTAATCATACTTTGTTGACTCGCATTCAAAATTTTATTGAACTACTATTTCATGAATTTATGTCAATAAGTTTGGTATAAAACTGTAGATTATAATTCAAATTTTAGTATTATACATTACTCAATTCCTTAATTTAAAAGTTAATATTAAAAAAAACAGTTAAATATCAATTTTTGTGTGTCACGTGGTATGTTGAATGCAGCACTGTTCCAAATTAGATGTTTGTGATGTCAAAATATTAAGTCTTTAGGAATTAGGAACTAAAATTACCAATATTGACAAGCTAGAATATAAAATAAGAACCTTATATATTTTCTGTTTGCTGATATATCACTCATGTACTGAATCAAATACAGTGGCCTCAATCACCTCTTCCCATTTTTGTAAATGGTCCCTTATATACACCTACTTCAATATATGACATGTGAATAACCAATCAAAAGCTCAGAATTTACCCCTAGTGGCTTTCTCACCAATTTTCATGTGTTAGGGCACCATCTCATTCTTTCGAACCAAGATTTCAAAGAGGTAGGTTGTGTATTAGTCTGCTCGAAATTTCATATTTTTTTAGACCCAAATACAGCTTAGTTACTAAGCTTGATAAATTATAGTGGAATTCTATGGTATTGGTATAGTAATTTATGATTTTTTGGTTATTCAACTGTATATATAAAAAGTATTTCGTTTCATATCCTCCACGTGCAAAATTTTAAAAGGCTTAGCAACCTACATCAAGCAGCAACCAAGTACAAAGGTCGTAACTAGAAGAGATAGTTGTTTGCTTTACTTCTTTATTTATTGTTCTATGTTTTAAGAAATATAACTTTAAGAACTAATTTCTAAACAGAATAATCTATATCCATATATAATATATAACAATTGAAATGTGACTGTATTTTACAAAATACTAGTCTACTAAAACACAGCCAAGACAGGTCATTTTGTAATGACTAAAGGTCAGTTTTATATCATATGCTAACATAAGAGCACGCGTGTTGCATCATTGTAACTTCTGTATTGTTAACCAGACACAGCTGATAGGTCAATAATAAAAATAATAAATATATATATAAATGTATAATATTATGAGATTTAAGCTATTTAGTCTAAACATTTATGTTTCCATGTTATAATTTGTTTTCATTCTAGAACGATAAAGGCATAATTTATATTTATTTCCCAATTTTTTTACGGTGGTTACAAGATTGGTCAAGATTCGTTAGTGAAAATAACAGATAAAATATATAGTTTTTTTCTTAAGAAACTTTTGATAACCATCTGGACATTATAAAGATTTCACATGTGAAATTTTAAAATTTTCTGATGCATAAAAGTATTTTTAATCATTAAATGAAAATTGCTTTGCCTGTTGATAGGTAACATGCGAAAAAAAGGCATGAGAAAAACATTGCTTAACAAACCTTAAGGCTTAATAAAAAAATTTATATTTTGCATATGAAAGCATTGTAATGTTTACTGATATTCAGCCAAATTCCATTAACATACACTTACTAATTTAAAAGTTATAACATGAAAACTATAACAATCACTGAATGGTTACAAGGTCGGTCCCAGGGACCGAGTCCATGCTGAAAGAGTTGAACAATGGTTATTGTGACCATCCTAATTTTAAATAAAACAGTAGTATGACCATGCACTTTGTCTTATTTATTTAAACATTTTCTGTTATAAATAAATTGTAATAGTTTTTCATTTTAGTTCCTGATGAACTTTTCATTGTTAAACCAAACGTCAATTTGATTACACTAAATAACCATTTTTTCAATATGAACTTAAAACATTTAGAAATTCTGAATAACTTCATGACTATGTTAAAACTATTTTTTTATGTGGTAAAATAAAAGCTAGAGGTCAAGATAAAAAGTAAGTTTACAAATTATGGTACATACAGAGGTTGAGTACTTTATATTAAAATGATTTTGAAGCCTCAACACGTCATTATAGTCCACATAACCATATACATTTATCTTCTATCTGATAACTGCACATCTTGATAATAGCCTTGCAGCATAGTATCCATTGTAAAAGACTCCATCATAATGCTGTCTTTTCAAAAATACACTGGTACTCCCTGCATGTTTCCTATTAACCATCTAGTCTACAAGAATGACAATTTCCCAGTACCTGTTTCAACAGTTCAAGCACACAGAAATTCATAAGTTCTGCATTCAACAACTTGACAAATAAGTCTTTGTATGGAATAGCATGAATACCTTTTTCATTCTCTAGCTGCTTGAGTTATGTAATGGTTGAATTTGAACAGGTATGCTGTGGAGGTAACTTGTGTCACTTTTCCAGGCAGAGATCCTTTTTGATTATTTTTTGTACTGTTGCCTGGGACTGGTGAATAGGTTTGTTTTGTACTGTTGCCTGGGACTGGTGAATAGGTTTGTTTTGTACTGTTGCCTGGAACTGGTGAATAGGTTTGTTTTGTACTGTTGCCTGGAACTGGTGAATTGGTGTGTTTGTACTGTTGCCTGGGACTGGTGAATAGGTGTGTTTTGTACTGTTGCCTGGGACTGGTGAATAGGTGTGTTTTGTACTGTTGCCTGCGGTTGGTGAATAGGTTTTTACACTTACCCTTTTTACTTGAAGATTCTCACCTGTTACAAGATGCCGCACTTTACTTACCATGACTGGAGTATTAATTGTTATAGGTCTCTTTCTGAATAGTCCTGATGCCCCAAGTTGATCCATATTCTTTTGTTGTCCAATGACATTAACTTACAATGAATATCTCCTTGTTGGAAATTCTAAATCCCCAATTTCAACACATCCTTATGATCTGATTGTGTAAATATTTTGCAATGGAAATGACTGTTATATAACTTTCTCAAAGTAATATATTTTTGGTAGCATTACGACCTATCAAAACACCAAATAATGTCAAAATGTAGTTCTGATACATGTTATTCCACTGCAATTTTATACCAGCTATGGTTGTCATGTGGCTTGCCGATTTGCAAATTCAAAATCATTTTAGTATAATGTGCACTCACCCTCTATATTCGTCATTTGTATTTACATAACAGTTAAAAAAAGTGCCTATGAAAAATAGTATGTATATTTTCTAGTGACACCCGTAAACATAAGAAATGATGTTAATTGTGACTAAAGTTTTTTTTATGTACATTTCACATGCTGGTTAATGTTTAGTTCAGATCTATATACGTATCTCACCTTGATTAAAAATTAATGATAACAAAACTTCTAAAACATCTATTTCACTTAACTACCTAGTAATACTGTTTAGTATTCACTATTTCACTATTTGTTAGTAATTTCACACTTTTTATGAACTAATTAACTAATTGAAGCTAGTGTTTCTAATTATGGCTGCTTTTGATTATTCCAACTATTCATGTCTCATATGGGAATAATCATTAATGCTCTCAACAATTGTTACTATTAATCAACTAAAAGCAATGAGAACAGTTTACTTTGCACTAAAAGAGAAATTCTGAACTGATTTTAACAAATCTCGATATAAACGTAATAAATAACAGTAAATACAAAAATGTAAAATCTTATTTGGATACAACAAATGCTAATCATTAATTACTTGTTTTGAAAAGTAACATACAAAAGCATTAATTTCTTTTTTTCATTTTCTTACCTTCAGTTCAGCATACTGGTCTATTAGCTTCATGTACTCATTGTTCACTGATTCTGCCTGACACTTTAACTGCTTCAAGTCATTTGTAGTGTGTTCTAGTTCTGTAAAATGTAACTCTTTCATTTCAATGGATTTCACCACATGCAAACATTACTGACAGCTTTTTAACCTTCTTCAGAAATATTATCAACTCAAACGAACTAACAAAAAATAATAAAAAAGAGTAAAAAACACATAATACAATGTATTAAAAGCACATTGCAAACAAACCAGTAACAAATTAATAAAAAAGCTAAAACTAGAAACAAACTCTCACATATATGTTAGTTTCTCTATGGAATTGCCTTTTATGTTTATGAACTTTACATTTTTTCCCCTGTATAAAGACAGTTCTCCAGGCAGATGTAGTACTTAACTGCCTGTATAAGACAGTTTCCAGCCAGATGTAGTACATAAATGTTTGTAGGGTTTTAACTTAAAAATAACAGGATCATTCAGTAAGTAGCAAGGCCCATTTAAGAACAGCCCAAATTAAACAATTAAACTACTTGACTGGTTTCAAATAGATTAAATATGAAAAAATGGGAGAGCAAAAGTACACTGACCAGCTAAAATTATACAGGCATCTAGTCAGAGAGGAGACTTGTCATCACTGTATTGTACAGTGTTGCTTCACCCTTGGTCGAAACAACCGATGCTTTTCCATGCTCTCTACTAATGTATGACAAGACTAGTCCAATTTGTTTCTATCTCTGATTGAAATGTTCAATCAGTTAGCAGTGCATGTGGAGGAATGTGATCTAACTGCTTGAATTAATCCTTCCAGATTAGCCTCAAGATCTTTCAGTGTTAATACTTTCCAACAATGTATGGAAAGTAAGCACTTTATTGCAGAAATTACCCCATCAATTTGCTGATGAAAAAAACATATCCATGGCCCCATACATCACACCATAAAATCCATACTTTCATTCTTCACAGAATTATGTACATTTGTCACTAGAGTTACATTCAGCAGCCTACACTGAGTGAAGAATTTCTCATCACTCTATACACAATAACATTAAATGCTTAGAATGATGTGGTTCACTCTACAGACAATAACATTAAATGCTTGGAAGGATGTGGTTCACTCGACAGACAATAACATTAAATGCTGGGAATGATGTGGTTCACTCTATAGACAATAACATTAAATGCTTGGAATGATGTGGTTCACTCTACAGACAATAACATTAAATGCTTGGAATGATGTGGTTCACTCTATAGACAATAACATTAAATGCTTGGAATGATGTGGTTCACTATAGACAATAACATTAAATGCTTAGAATGATGTGGTTCACTCTACAGACAATAACATTAAATGCTTGGAATGATGTGGTTCACTATAGACAATAACATTAAATGCTTGGAATGATGTGGTTCACTAGACAATAATATTAAACACTTGGAATGATGTGGTTCACTCTATAGACAATAACATTAAATGATTGGAATGATACGGTTCACTCTATAAACAATAACATAATGCTTGGAATGATGTGGTTCACACTACAGACAATAACATTAAATGCTTGGAATGATGTGGTTCACTCTACAGACAATAACATTAAACACTTGGAATGATGTGATTCACTCTATAGACAATAACATTAAATGCTTGGAATGATGTGGTTCACTCTATAGACAATAACAATGCTTGGAATGATGTGGTTCACTACAGAACAATAACATTAAATGCTTGGAATGATGTGGTTCACTCTATAGACAATAACAATGCTTGGAATGATGTGGTTCACTACAGAACAATAACATTAAATGCTTGGAATGATGTGGTTCACTCTACAGATAATAACATTAATCGCTTGAAATGATGTGGTTCACTCCATAGACAATAACATTAAATGCTTGGAATGATGTGGTTCACTACAGACAATAACATTAAATGCTTGGAATGATGTGGTTAACAAGGGTTAGTGTAATACATGAACATCACGTTCTGTCGAGAGCTAAAGTTTCTCTGCCCGCTATACCATAATACTGCCCAGGGATGCCCACTGACGTGTGTTGCAATAAATAATAATGCTAAGGGACAGGAAAGGATAATAAAACATTAAAATAAATTATGCGTGAAAATGTAAAGACATTCAATTAAGATGTTTTAAGATTATTTGACAAAATATTAAAAGGTATGCACATTTTCCATATATTTAAATTTTTAACATTTCATTGTACTATACTATAGACTATAATTTGATGATAATAGCTACAGTTAATAATATTGTAGAAAAAGTGAAATATATAAACATTTACCTTAAATTAAAAAACTATTGATATTCACTTAGGAGGTTCTAGGAGTTATGCAAATAAAACTTGAAAGTATAAGTTGGAAAAAAGTATTTTTATAATCATGTTGTTCTGTTGGTTACCTTAGATGTTACTTGGGTAAACTCCTGTAAACTTAATTTTTTTTCTCTTCCAAAAGCCAATATAATCTCTATTACCTCAAATTCACATATTTCCTGATATTTTGAAATCTTATGCACACTTCGTCCTTACAATTCTACTACGTCTTGGTATCTAAACTCAAGATCAAGTCACAATACTTACAGCAATGACTATACATCACAGACTTTTATGGTGAACTAGACCACCGTGACCCATTGGGTCACCCACTATTTAGAGGTTATGAAGAATTCAAGCTAATTTCAATATTGCACTGAAATGAAGGTTTATTTTGAGAAAATTTAATTAAATATTTCAATCCATTTGTGTTATTCATAATTCAAGAAAAGATATTTGATTGCTGATAGGGAGTAAAAGGAAAGAACATTTAATTTTTCAAAAAAGTGAAGTCAGAGTTTTGAGGTATTGTGAT